AGTGCAGGTTAATCTTGCACAGAGACCAGTGATACAAAATACCTCCAATCCTTACAGAAACAATAGAAGACAAACACAGAGTAATCCCTCACGGACAACCAGACACTATGGGAGAGAGCTCCAATGGATTTACCATCTCAGGACCATGGTACTGGGTGACACCAGATTCAATTGGCACAACAAAATGCATGAAAGCCTTGTTCCCTATTCTACATTAGTGATCAATGACTTGGGTCTTAAAAACTTTCAAGCAACCTTCTAAGATGCACCTAATCTCCTAGCATCAGAAGCAAAGAAGAGTGCTGAAAAAAAAGGGGGGGCACTTGGTAGCAATCAGCCGTAGGACATGATAGCCCTCGAGACCAGAACTAGATGGTGCCCAGTACCAATGCCAACCACTCAGAAGAGGATCAAATCTGGAGATCCTGCATAGAGTGGGAGGAAAAATGTGGAACTAAATCCAAAAACTCTGTAATGGGTAGAATTACTGGTTGGATGGAGTCTGGTGAGACCCCCAATGCTATGACCCTGGGATACATTCTGGGTCTGGAATAAAACTCACTCCCAGGGCCTGGTTCTCAGCCCAATAATGAACAAGATGTACATGCAGACCACTCAACTCAGGGTGACGCACTCACATACTCTATAGAAATACATCCCTCTGAGCAATGGACCATGGGGCATCAGAGGGCAACATTCATATGGAGGAAATGCAGGACAAAGAGGAGTGCATAACTGAATAGCACAGGAGGAAGGTTACTGGGCAGAGAAGGGAGGAGACTGGGTTAGGGTTGAGCATGGTAAATGGGGAGTGAAACTAAACATATACGTAATGTTGAATGTAAACCAAATTCTTAAAATAGAATAAAATAAAATAAAAAGAAAGAAAGAAATAGGTAGGTGGGAAACTGCCTGGTATTGGTACAGTGACAGACACATTGACCAATGGAATAGAATTGAGAGCCCAGAAATAGATACATCGACCTATGGTCAGCTGATCTTTGACAAAGAGCTGAAATCCATAAAATGGAAGAGATTGTCTGTTTAATAAATGATGGTGGCAAAACCGGATATCCATTTTCAGAAAAATGAAACAAGATTTGTACCTCACACCATACATAAAAACTAACTCCAGAGGGATCAATGAATTAAATGTGAAACCTAAAACTATAAAGTTCCTCAACAAAAAACTAGGGACAAATTTGGGGGCTTCCATGGCATAAATAGACTATGAAGCATAATCCAAAACACACAAACAGCAGAAGGTAAACTAGATGAATGGGACCTTCCAAAAATTAAATTTTTATGTGCTTCTAAAGACTTCTCCAAAAGAGTCAAAAAAGAATCTACAGATTGGGAAAAAATATTCAGCAATGACGTATCTGACAAAGGACTCATCTCTAAAATTTACAGAAAACCCCAACACTTCAACACCAAAAAGACAAATAATCCAATTAAAAAATGGGCAGAAGACATGAATAGACAATTCACCAAAGAGGATATTCAGGTGGCCAACAAGTACATGAAAACATGCTCACAATTATTAGCCATTAGAGAGCTGCAAATCAAAACAACAATGAGATACCATCTTGCACCAGCACTAGTAGCAAAGTTCAACAAGACAAAAAATAAGAAATGCTGGTGAAGATGTGGAGAAATTGGGATTCTCATACACTGCTGAGGGGACTGTAAAATGACACAACCACTGTGTAAAGCAGTATGGCAATTCCTCAAAAAGTTGGAATTAGAAATACCATTTGACTCAGCCATTCCGTTACTAGGTATATATCTTAAAAAAGTGAGAGCCAGGACAAGAAAAGATATACACACCCATGTTCATCACAGCAGTATTTACAATAACCAAAAGATGGAAACAACCTAGGTGCCCATCAATAGACAAATGGATAACCAAACTATGGTACATACACACAATGAAATATTATGCAACCTTAAAGAATAACATAGAATCTGCAAAACACCACATAATATGGATGAACTTGGAGGACATTATGCTGAGTGAAATAAGTGAATTACAGAAGGACAAATATTGTCTTAGTCCGTTATTGTAAAAAGTCAAGGAGTTTACATATGGAAGGAAATTTTCTTTGTTGCTTACCAGGGGTGGGAGGGGAGGGAAGGGAACACTGTTAGATAGATAGAGACAAGTGCTGATTTGGGTGAAGAGAAGGGAAATGTACCAAATGTGAGTGATCAACTAAGTGGAATTGAAGAAAAGGAAGACAGAGAGAGGTGCTTGGGAGGTCCAGACAATAAAGATGAACCCTTTTGCATATACAGTACTGAATTATCAGTGAAGGCAAACGTTGATCTACAGGTGTATAGATGGGTGGACAGGCTGAATGATTAGGTATGTCTATGGAGGGGGGACTGTGCCCAAGATCATGTACAGGGTGGGCAGACAATACTTCTACAAGTGTATTTTTATGTTCTGTAAGAACTCCATTGTATATAGTAGAGCTGACAAGGATCAAGGTTGTAGTCATTTCTTGGCCACAGTCAGCTACCCAGAGGGAGTGAGTTTTTGGACCCGTGGACTCAGGGCCATAGTCTCAAGGGTCATCAAGCTCAAGCTCAATTGACACAACATACTACACAAAAACATTGTCCACATGCTACTTTGGCGAGTAGAGACTGGGATTTTAAAATCTTCCAAGTGGTCATCTAGATACAATGATGTGTCTCTCCTTGTCCAGATCAAGGAAGAATAAAGAAAACCAAAGATGCATGAAAACAATTAGTGCAAGTGACTCATACACCATGCAATTCTCAGGCTATATGACTATGAGACCAGAAGACCTAGATGGTCCCAGCTACCACTGACAACCACTCAGAGGGGGGTCTATGTAGGAGATCCTGGATAGAGTGGGAGAACAATTTGAAACAAAACTCAAAATCATTAAAAAAAAAGGGGTGGGGGAGGCAGGTTTGCTGGTCTGATAGAGCCTGATGGAACCACTGAGACTGTGGCCCCTAGCTGCCCTTCAGGTCTTGAATTATACCCACTCCTGTGGCTTCTAGCCAAATGAAAGCCTGGCATAAGAGCTGAACATTTACATTAGGAGGTACATTCCTTGGAGAGATCAATCATGGGAGAATAAAAGGGCTGTGTATGCACAGGGAGACAGCTCAGGGGACAGGAGTGTATGGGAGGTAAGGACACAGGGAAGAGGTAATGCGGAGGAAGTGGGAGGGGAGCTGTTGCATTGTGGTAAATTGCAGTCAATGTCATGAAATAAAGTATATGTAAGCTGCTGTATGGAAAGTGAATTTTCTCTGTAAACTCACCCAAATCACAATAATAAAAAAAAAATACCATAGCTAACTTGCAAAAATATCTCCTGGTGTAGGGAGTCGTTGGCAAACAAATGTAGAAGTTATGCATTATTTGGATAAATATACACCTATTCCTCACTTATCAACTATTCTATTATCTGATGTTTCACTTTTGCTGCCACAGTGAATATCTATTACCCAACTATTTTGTGGTTGTTGTTGTTATGTGCCATCGAGTCGGACCTGACTCATAGCGACTCCCCCCAACTTGGGTTTCCGAGGCAGTATCACTACGGAAGTAGATTGCCCCATCTTCCTTCCGAGGAGTGGCTGTTGGGTTTTAACTGCCAGCCTTCTGGTTAGCAGTCAAGTCAAGTGTCTTAGGCACTATGCTAACAGAGCTCCTGCATAGTTTAGCTATTTTTTTTTTTTTTTTATAATCTGGTTTAAGGATTCCATGGATTTATACAAAGTTATGACTGATTTGAGTCTCATCTCCATTGCTGTTGAGTCAATTCCAAATCATAGCGAACCTATAGGACAAAGTAGAACTGCCTCACAGGGTTTCCAAGGCTGCAATCTGTATGGAAGCACACTGTCATCACTTCATTCTCCAATGGAACAGCTAGTGGGATTGAACCATTGACTTTTCAGTTAGCAGCTAATCACTTAACCACTGTGCCACTAGGAATTCTTGTGCCTCATAACTGAGGTAATTTTAGATAAGGCCAAAAAAAAAGAAAATGATGGCTAACCAAAATTCAAGTAACTCTGAAGTTACCAATTAAGAAAAATACTTTAAGAATATAAATTATTGTTTGTATTAAATAATTTTATAGATATTGATAGGATAGTGTATTTGTCCAAATTTTTATACCATATAATACTAATTTTGAAAAGTTATGTTTTACTAAGAACATATAAATAATCAGCAACATAGACATACATGATGTGACCAGATCAAAATATGGAGACAACATAGTGCCTACGGCATTTGACTGCTAACCAGAAGACTGGCAGTTCAAACCCACAAGCCACTTCTTGGCAAGAAGATTGGGCAATCTACTTCCATAGACATACCACCTCAGAAACTCAAGGAGGGGTCTCTGTGAGTCAAATTGACTCAATGGTAGTGATTTTGGTTTGTAGCCATTAGAAATTCTAGTAGTTTGCTTTTAAAATTACCGAGCCTGTTCTCTGTGAAGGTCTGGTATTTCTCTTGATATCAGAGTGGTCTTCCATCTAGAGATTGAGAATTGTGAGTTTCAATGTTTATTAACTACTCTCAGAATTATTTCCTTCCACATGCTAATATGTGGAGTTAGGAAGTCTATCAGAAATCTAAATTGCTTGATTTATGTATCAGAACTGCAAAGTTTACTCAGAATTAGTTTGCTTTTTGACAATCATTTGGAAGTGGAAAATCCTATCTATAAAAGGGAGACAAAAGTCAAAGTCTATAAACTCTAGAATAATCCCTTAGCTCAAAATATTATACAAAGTTCTCACACAGTTTATAATACAAATAGTTGATATATATATATTTTTTTTTTGCTTCTGTGATGATTTGGTAATTTGTGCTGAAAACAGCACTATTTTTTCACTCTCTACTACATTATTTCAAAAATTCTTCACTTTCCAAGTTTATGAATGACTATATTCAATCAAACTAAATATAAGAGCAGAAATATTTTGTATTTCCAAACCTCAGATGTAGTAAGTTTCTGAGATTCAGTCCTGTATATTCCGATGGGAACATCTCCTGTAGAAGAACACAACTTCTGATAAAGTCTGGCGTAAGTTCTGATCCATAAGTCATCTTCAGTGATTTTCATCTGTAGTACATATGAATGATTTACACATTAAATTTTTAGTAAATGGAAATTCAGTGGTTATTATTTTACTGCTTAAATGTAAACATTATTAATATTTTGAAACCTCAAAATTACATTTTATCAGTGCTTATCAACATATTAAGCATATTTATTACACTCTACCTCAGTGTATCCCTATGGTTACTCAAACTTAAGAAAACCAAGTACACAATTTGTGGCAGTAAGGCACTTTAAGAGTTCCATATCAGTATGGGGCAGGGTACTCGTAATCAATTGCAGGATGTTGGAAAACATGTGGAAAATATTTTGAATGTTGCAATAACTGAAAGTGATATTTAAAACCAAACCCACTGTCATCAAGTCTATTCCAAGTCATAGCAACCCCCATTGGATCTGTGAGGTGGCAAATCTTTATGGAAGTAGATTGCCCAGTCTTCTTTTTGCAAAGTGGTTAGTGGGTTTGAACTGTCAACTTTCTGGTATTTAGTGGGCAGGAAATGGACAAAAAAGAGGAAAGATGCATAGTTACTTGAGCACAGGGCTGAAAGACAGGAAACATGCATTGTAATCTCTCTTTGCTACTCATGAATTTGAACCACCAGCAAGTCATTTTATCAAACAGCCATAGTACATTTATCTAGAAAACAAGGGAGTTAAACTGCCTGATCTGATTTTTTGGACAGTATGGAAGCCTGTGTCTGAACATGTCAATCCAAAACTGCCAGGTCAATAAAGCACTTGTTCTGAATTTTGTACAGAATGGCTATTTCTTGTGATTATTAATTAAAAATCAATTTTCCCTGAAAAAAATAAAAATAAAATTCAAATGTTATTTTTTGGACATACATGAGAAAAAAAAAAAAAAAAAAACGACATAGAAGAGTTAGCCAAAGTACTCTAAGGGTGGATTTCAGAGCCTTCTATAATAAAAATGTTCTAATCCAGAGATAATTAACTTACAGAACAGAGAAACCCCGATCCTGGTGTGGTATCCAGTCCCAACAGAAGTCTGGTAATAGAAATCATGTAATCTTTCACAAAAGACTACAATA